TGCATGCACAGTTTTAATTACTAGTCCTTTACCAGACTGTTCGCCTTTCTGTTTAAGCGGTAGCTATGCTTCGGCGAATTTTGAAGTTCAGAAAGTTTGTAATTTTTGCGAAGTGAAATAATGCGCAGCCAATTAGAGCTTAGGAAAAGAATAATCATGGTCATGAGCGAGCGTAGAAGCAAATCAATGAATGCATTATGCACGAATTGCAATATGGATACAATGTTTGTAAAAAAAATGTATCGCGAATATTTCTGTTTCATAGTGGAAAATAAATAAGCGCTGACATAATCGTGGCGAAAACTTTTTGTTTCACTTACAGGAAAACCTTAAAGACATTAGGGAGCTCTCGACTGCACGACAACGGTAGGACATATAACGCCACTGAAATTCATCTACCTCGTCGAGTAGATTCTGGACTGCAATTTGGCTAAATCTACGTATGCAGAGAGCATAGGACGCCAGGTAGACGGTCACGCATAAGTGATTCTGTTCTAGTGTCGTGTCGTCGCACAAACCGAAAGCTCCTTTTTGTTGGTCATGAAATTCATTCCTACCTGATAGAGATCTGAAGGATCTTTGGCACCCTCTGGTGGCAGCGGAGGTATCCCTGGCAACCCTCTGGTTTTACTGCAACTAAGCAGTGGTGTTTCAGCATGCTGAAATGCATTAAATCACAAAAATCATATCATAATTATTATAAATTTACTATTCAGAACAGCTAGTTAACTGTTAAGGCGAGACCTTTTTTTATTCCATTGTTTTGCGTACTTATTATTTTAAAGATTATCAAAGGAGGGCAGAATAAAAATAAAAATAAACTTTTGTTTTCTTATTTAGCAAATAGTTTTGCCAAAATCATCCAGACGGAGAAGAAAATAAAATTAAAATTTCATTGGTGAATGTAAAATAGGATGGTTAAATGCTTTAAATTTATATAATTAGGAAGAAATATATAATTTTACCTTTGGAGATTTCAAGGCAGCAAAGGGTGTATTAAACTTTTATTTTTTTTAAATTTCCAATTTTTGGTGGCTTCAGGTGCGCTTATAAAACTGCACTATTATTATTATTATTATTATTATTAATTGGCCAAAAATAAAATTTTATTCTTATTCAAAACCATCAATATTTGCAGTCGGCGGGTTTGCTAAACGAGGTAAAAAACAAAGTCTCGCCTAACTGTTAAGTATTTGGGAACGTACATCTAAATAGTACTGTATGTAGTACCTGGTACTACTTGGGTATTGGATTCAACACTGCCACTAGGCCCAAGCTCCTGCTCAGTACTTAAGGCCTAGTGGTTATGACACCAGGCTAGTTCTGGTGGTCGTGGGTTCAATTCCCACCCGCATCACTTCCAAAATTTTGTTTTGCAAGTTGGGTCAGAAACACTGGCTGCACCAGCAACAGAGGGCTTAATTCCACGTTTGACTGGCCGAGCCCTACGTCAGCCATGACTTGGATCAAAAAAGAAGGAAAATTATTATTTAAAATTATCATTAAAATCAGTGTTAATTGGTGATATTTTCTTAGGCAGTGGCTATGCCTAGGCCTATTTATTAGGCCCATCTTTAATTAAAAGTAATTCTAATTGAATGCTAATAATGCCCTAACTATTACTAATCCAATCCATAAGCCTACATTTAAAATGAGACTGGTGTAAACCGCATTTTATCACTTGAAAAGCTAGACCTAAAACAACGTCTCAGAACAGAAAAATGGCCCAGCTTTTCTCTACAGACTGTATTAAAAAGCTAGCTCCCTGTCAATATCACTGATCAGAGAGTAATTAATTCTCACCACTTAGGCCTGGCCTAACTGGTAATTAATTCTCATAAAACTATCACACACATTTCATTACAAAATTTAAAAAAAAATCCGAAAGAAGAGGACGCATAAATAAGAAGTCGGCTTACCTTTGCACGATCCAACGCCATTATTGTAGGCCTAGTATTGATAAATAAAATCCACTTGTTTCTTGCCTCGATATTTTCTTAATCAGTACAGTACCAAAACGTTCTTACTTTACAATCAGAGTCTATTATGGTATGTTCCTGTCTGTATCGCCATCGTAGCTGCTATTTGGCTTCCCGTTCACACTAGTTTAGTCCGTTTTTCTAATCACAGCTAGACCTAGACTAGGCCCAGGCCTAGCAATAACCTATTTTGATCCCCTAGTAAAGTCAAGAGTAGCTTATCGAGTGCCAACGGCAAGTGTTTTGACAAAATTCAGGCCTAAATTCCCAACAAGTTTTGATGTCGTCTGATCACCTCACATTAGACCGTCAGTCAAATACACCAGTACTTTCAAATAACAAGTAAACGATTATTGACACACTTTTTCAGATTTCATCAATTTTCAGCTAAAATTCGTCCACCTGAAAAGTAAACTTTTAAAACTTTTTGCTCAAAAGTAGCGTAACATGGCGTTTCAGGAGTGCATCAGGTTGCTAGGTCCGAAAAGCAATCAATTAGCAATTGAGGGCGCTAGACTATAAAACTTATTTTTAAAAACTCTTACTCGATAGCTTTAATATAGGGTGAAATTTCACTGTTCCCTGCTTTTTTAAATCAATACATCGATATTTTGTCCAAACTTATTCCTAAAGTCTGAAATACAGGTTTCCTTCCAATTAAAGGCCACTTTTGAGACCGGGGTTCCATGGTCTTAGTAGTTTGGTCTCTAATTAGAATGATAAAAAAGAAGACAAAAGTGGACATGCATAGAAAAGTGGCCTTTTTTTTAAATTGGAGGTGGCTTTTAATTGGAGGTGGTCTTTAATTGGAGGTGGTCTTAGAAAAGGAGGGGTCTTTAATTACAGGGAGACCTGTATTATATTACCCTAAAGTAAATAGATTGCCTTTCTAAGCTGCCTTTTAAATTCCCGTGAACTTTATGACATGACAATCAAGATCGTGCGAGTGTCATTGCTATATAAATTCTTTCCATGTGTTATTTAAGTTTAGGTCAAATTGTAATTAAAAAAAAGGCTAATACTAATTAGACACAGCGTTTGATTTTGTTTGAAACAATAAAACAACAATTAATATTAGCCTTCTTTTCATTTAATAAGTTTATCAGTTATAAAATTACCAGATGTGATTCCTTCATAGTTCTGACGAACAGCGCCCTCATTTATGACAGTAGACGGAGTAGCGTTGTATTTGCGTTGTTTATACTTTCGTTACCCGGCGTAGATCGTGAAGTATGTAAGTAAATCCTTGCGTATCATTCCAATCATTAAATTAAATTCCAGTAATACCATAAAAAATAATATAATTGTTATTTTAATTTTAATTTATTAAGGTCTGTCCATAAAATACCATGGTATTTACTCGTTTTCCAGGTATAAATTGGCCTGACGCGTAGCCTCAAACAGGCTGTGTATATGAAGCGAATATGAGGCGGAATGGCTTGGAGCCTAGGCCTAGGCTGTGATCAGAAACTTTGGGCAAAGCAGCTAGGGCCTAGGCCTTATACCTAGCTAGGCTAGGAAGGAGCCTTAATTTAACCTTACCCATACAAGGCTTAGACTTACGTGATAATTTAACACTAGGCTAGGCCTAGATATTATATTATATTTATTGAATTGCAATCCAGCAATGGCAATAGGAGGCCTAAACCAGAGCAGAAAGGAAAGCATTGGTTGAATGATTCTTCAGGCTAGGCCCTATGGCATATATACGCCTAGATCGTAGGCCTAGACTTAGTAGTACCCTCCCAGGGCTGGTAGTACTAGGGCCTTTCTCGGTTTGGCCTACTTATTAATTGTTATATTCATTAATACTTACCTCAGTTATGAATTTTTACAGGGCAGGTAGTAGAAGTCGTAGTAGGAGCAGAGGCAGGAGGGATTCTACAAAGAAGGATCGAGCTAGAGACAAGAAGCGGAGAAGTGTCAGTGCATCCTCAAGCAGTAGCAGGTAAAAACAATCAGATTATCTGCCATGGGTGATTTGCATAATTCATGCGTGCCAACTCCAAGATTCATTTTGCACCTCACTATTTACCCCCCTCATGCATCATTACCCTCCTTCAGCCTTTGTTTCATCTGTACCTATCTTTTGTTTTGTAATTATACTTAACTACAACAGGCAAAAAAATAGCTTAACAATTCAGGAGAGATTTATAAATAATAATCAAGTAATACACACCAGATGAAGATTGAGATTAATTACACAGTACCTGACTGATGTAATGCAAAACCTGGAAGTATATGATGCAGTGATATTGATAACCTATTATGATTCCAGTCACGTTGGAGTCTTGTCGCCAGTTTGTGTCTTTGAGCAGGGCACTATATTTCCCCATCTGGATACATCATATTACTTCCTTGACTCCCATTTAAAAAAATTGTTATATCTATACTCCCATTAAAAGAAATTGTTATATCTATCAGGGAATTCACAACCATAGTTTTTTTACACTTACTGATTCAGGAAAAATGAGCTCATAGAACACTTCAACTTTCTTTCAGCTCTGGCAGCAGTAGCCGATCAAGTTCATCTGGCTCTTCTGGAAGCTCTGGCAGTTCAAGGAGCTCCAATTCTAGTTCTCGGTCCAGAAGCTCATCCAGTTCATCCCGATCAAGTAGCAGTGGAAGCTCAAGCAGCTCCCGTAGTCGTAGTAAAGATGCTAGCAAAAAAAAGACTTCAAAGTAAGTGTCATAAAAGATGTTTTAGCAATTGCAAAGTGGCAATTTCTTTCCATTGTTCTATACTTACTAAAATGCAGATTTTCAATCCTGTAACTGATTGTGATTAATTGATTGACTGGCAGACTGAATATTTTCATTTACTAAAAAAAATGACTTTAGCATAGTGGGATTGGTTGGTGCAGCAGTTGCGTTTTGGTCTCTCGACCTTAAGGTCAGAGGGTTTAAACCTTCACTGTGTATTTTGCTTGGGTTCTTGGACAAGGCACTTTACCTATGTTTGTCTTTCTCCACCCAAGAGTATAAATCGGTAACGGTGGTTCACTACTGGGGCGGAAAAACACGGCATGGATTAGAACTGGCCACCCTACCACACAATACTGAGGCTTAGTACTATGGGCTAACAGCTTATTCCCCTACGTTCAATAATGAATACGGGAATACCTTTAGCATAGCCTATGCTTTCTATGGTACAATTTTTCCTTCCTCTCGGCCTGTGGACTGGTGTCATTCCATTTCAATTCTATAGGCACAAGTGCCAAGGATATGCCAATCAGCGAACTTATCACTATTTTACGTGGCATATCCATTAAACAACAGGGGACTGATTGGACCAGTACACCGGGGTAACCCCCTACTCTTCTTGAAGGATGTACTGGTTCCTAAAGTGCGCACAAGCCAAATGCGTACACTGGGCTTACAGTTTAAAATCCATATCCAAGAATACTTGTTTCACCACAGGAACCATTGACGAGTGAGCCGTTAGAACCAGCGCCGATATTATTGCTGAAGGTGCCCTCAGACTTAAAACACTCGGCCAATCAACTCACCTCATTGTTGATGTGGGGCAGCTTATGATCATTCATAAATGATACCCATTTGTATTCCTAATTCTGATTGGATGCTATTGCCCTAATCCAATCTATAATATAAAAACAGCCAATGAGGAATTTGTACTGGTGTCACAATAGTCCCTGCATTTTATTGTGGTATAGTAAGCCGTCTATTTTACGTACTCCTAGGTACCAAGGTGTATCCGTAAATTGAACAATTTGCAAACTAGATAAGGTATCAGTTTTTACTAACTAGGCTTAGCTATTCTCTGTCAGTGAACGCCGATAGGCTGACGGCACGAGGATAACGTCATCAAGACCATTCGTAAAATTGACATTCCTAAAACCAACGTTTACTGGTTTACTGTATATGTTTATATATTTTGTAAATTTCCATTTTTGTGATGGACAGATTAAATGATAATTTGTGTCAGTAAAGCTTAACCTACATCTCAATGCAATGCAGAATAATTTTCATGTGATGTAATTATTATCTGGTTTTTTGCTTAAAGGTCAAGGTCAAAGTCACCGAAGAAGCGCAAGAGAACCCCATCTCCAAAACCGACACGGATCCACATTGGACGACTCACAAGGAATGTCAATAGAGACCACCTAATTGAAATATTCTCCATGTATGGAACAGTAAAAAGTGTTGAATTTCCCCCAGATAGGCTGCATGGATCGTTTGGTAAGGGATTTGCGTATGTAGACTTTGAGAATGGTGTGGACGCCGAGAAAGCTATGAAGCATATGGACGGAGGTAAAGATGATTTCTGAATTCGTAACTTAAGCTGGTTTTATGATCATAAAGAAAAACTTACAAGCCTTTTGAGGAAACCTGGAATGAACTGAAATGTCAATCAAACTTAGCAACGCATAATTTTATGCTTGTTGTTTTGTGGTTTGTTGGACCTTAGCAACAAGATCCAAGGGAACCTGCTACTACTAATGTGTTATAAATAAGTAAATCTATTCAAATCAATCGATTTTTATTTTTTTATTTTTTATTTCAAACACAACAAGAAGATGAAAATACAATCAAGAAATATAAAAATATACAATTCAAGATGAGGTTTAAGACATTTAAAAAGGGAAGCATGTACAATAGACCTAAATATTACTTTGAGATATAACTAATTACTATTACTGCTATTATTATTATTATTATTACAGTAGAACCCCTCATTTACGAACCCCGATTTTACGAATGTAATATAAAGGTGATGACGTCATAAAAATTGAAGCGAAAGATTAAAAAAAAAAAAAAA